ACCGGGACAGGAGTCTCCTGAGGAAGGATAGCGTTCTGACGTCACGCTTGGCCGATTCTCTCTGGCACGGCTTTAATTGTTTCCATAATTTATGAATCTTTTGTTTCCTTTTCGCTTAGAATTTTTATGTCATTTAATTATGGCCGAAGAGCAGCCGTAGGAGCGGGTCGCCACCCAGATTCGCCCATCCTGCTGCTCCACCCCGCCGGGAAACACAGTGTCACTGCTGGCGTCTGTGACGATTCAATTATCCGCGAAAAGAACAGATGTTTTGATCATTTCCCTGATTCAATAACGGTATAGACTCTTAGAAAAGATCGTATTCGTCACATCAAACGGGTGAGATTGTATCGATATCGATTGGCTCAAGACATAAACATAGCCTCAAAAGTCAATTGAGTAATCTGACGGAACGGAATTCTGCGATAGATGTTTGATTCGTATGAGTGCTAATTGACCAAAGATAGTAAACTTGCTACGAAATTCCTCATTTTCAGGTTTTCTGACAAATATCCTAACACTTTGGTTTTAGGGTATGTTCTATTGTTTTGAACCAAACAATTACATCAAACCACTATATAAAATACGATCCATAGGTGTGATAGTCACAGGAACTTAGAGCGATTCCCGGCCATGGGCAAGCCATTCGTTAATGATAGGGAGTTTTAAAATTGACGAGGGATTATAAAATTCAGAAATGAATTAATTCACCAGCGTTGATTATTCTGCTTTGAATTTAAGTAGTGTTTTCTTTCTCTTCTTCTGATCATAGTATAGCGGCTGACACACTCGCGTAAGTTTGCGTGTAATAAAATCGGTGACCTAAGTTGGGTCTGGGTCGGACAGGCAACTAAACTAACTGCGTGGCAAAGCGTGGAGTGTCACAGAGAAATGAAGGCGCTTCAAACTGCGATCGAGCTTTTGAAGTCATTCGCCAAGAAACCTCCTGAAAGCCGAGGCGAATTTTGCGATTTACAGAAGCGATACTTGAGCCTTGAGCCTTTCTTCAAATTGCTGGTAATTCTTAATCGTCTACGACAAAAGCACATGTATACCGAGAGAAGAATGACCATTAAGATATTTTTTGCCGGTGGTCTTTTTGATGAATTCATGTCAGTATGAAAAGACGATATATATCTTGGCTATGCAATAAAGTGAATTTCGATTATTTTGTCGTATCGAAATAGATTGAATATTCGGACTGTCGCGAAAGGAAGATCAATAGGTTTTGAAAAATACTGTTTGCACAATTGTCTTGGCACTAAAAGTGGCCTGTTAGAGGCGTCAACCATTTCTAGTAATCTTTAGCGTAGTAAATCACCTATCTACGGGGTGCACTATCGCATTGAAGGATTTCACTTCATGCACTTTCAAAGGCGATTGACTTGGTAACTCGGCGTTCAAGAACCTATGTTTTGCTAAAATAAAATATTCATCAATAAAACATAATTCTTCAACCTCGCGACTGTGGGTCAGTCACCCACTGGATTGGTTCTCGCGAATGTTTGGGGTGAATTTTGCTTCGGAAGAAAATGCTTCTTTTCCCACGGCACGTCTTAACAGTGAGATCTTACCTCTACAGACCGATCGTAACCTCGAAAATATTCTTCAAGTGATGCCGTGGTAAGGTTAGGCAGGGTGCAATAAATGACGTCACCTGCGCTTCCAACTGCACTTGCTCGTAAACGCTGGCCGAGGAAGACGAGGAGTGAGTCGCATGCTTGATTTAATTGATAGCATGCGTGCATGTTCTCGATGGCTAGACGAAACTGCCAGATTTAGTAAAAAATCTAGTGCTCTGGTCTGGTGTCTAAATATCAATTTCTCCGACATTAAAACTATATCTGATAAGTATTTTTGGGAAGCGGCGTGGCCAAAATGTGGAAGATGACCTCATTAACGAAAAAAAATAGGAAAGGTATACTGGTGTATACCTTTAATACGTATAATAGGGTCGTGAACTTCAGACTTCTTAAAAGATATCTTTATCAAAAAATAATCCTATGGGAAAATTGTTGAAATTTAAATGGTTTGAGTACAGCCTCTTGACTGTTCCTGACTTTTAACCCGAAAATGTAAGAATAGATGAGGGAATAGAGGAGAATGTAGGAAAAGGCAAGTGCAGTTTTTGAAAAATTGAGACATTAATGATTTCAGGTGATGCATACCTATTCTGTGTAAAATTCGCTCCCAAATTTCAATTTTTATGCGTCAAAAAGTCAGTTTGAACTTTCTTTCCGCCATAAGGAGCCATGTAATTTCGAAACTTCAAACAGCACGTATTTCTCGAAATTGCAAAAACTGCACTTATGCGCCTTGTCTTCCAAGCGCCTCAGATGAATTTTGTCGTTTGTCCATTAGATAAATCCATCTGCTCTTACTATTTTCCCCCACAACTTGATGCACTTGATTGTGTCCTTCACGTGAGGTAGCATTCGTAATTTTAAGCGTGCCAGTAGGGCTCGCTTTTTGAAATCACTCGGATGTACCATAGTACAGCACACAGATCAACCAATGCTATTCAACGGGTCGTCCAAATACTTTTTTCCTCGCACCCGTTTCTTTGTCTTTGAACCATTACACTGTCAAGCCCTGATGGTCTTTTA